CACCAAAAAAAACCCAATTTTTAATATAATGCATCAACTTCTTAAATTAAAAAAAAAAAAAAAGAGGCAAAAAGATCTTCGAAAAAAGAAGTATAAACTAAAAAATACATATGAAACAAACACTATCACCTTTTCATATAGCCGTAAACACAACATTTTTATAAGTCGTTGCTGAAATTCGGAGAGCAATCGTGTTCATCAAACTTTGAGCAAGACCTAATCACGTATCGAATAATAGATCGTAGTAGGGAATTTACCAAGGAAAATCGATTGATGAAGTCCTGGCTATTCTTCAACGATCTCAGGGCTATAGCATGATTTTTCAAGTTCTCTCAGCCACGGCTAAATCCAATTACGCTGCCATGGAAATTCCATGATTGATAAGTCCACTTATTCCATGACTGGATCAAAAATCGGAGAGGTCTGTTGGGCATGGGCCTTATAATTGACAAATTATAAAGCCCATTTCCCCGAACTCGGCCCGGCAGAATTAAAGGCTCAGCTCACATTCCAAGAAAACCCTACATAAGTGTACTTCCTCATTCTAGTATAAAAAGAGGACCTCTCTCCTTGAGTAGTCCCATCATTTTTCCTCTTTTGGAGTAGTATAAGGGACTAGAGAACTAACTGTTTTCTGAACTCTAACTAATCTAAGAGAGAAAGAATTATGTTCGTACATTCTGCCGGAATCGTACAAGAATTCATCAGATAAAGTGGTTTTTATATACTCGCTTATCATCGATCCCAGAATACCTCTCACCTAGGTCCGACCTCGGAATATGTGTCAATCAGCCCTGATCTCAGGATATTCGCTTACTACTTAGTTCCCGACCCCACGAGCTCATTATTCAGTCAGTTCGTTTGCACAAAGTTCGTCAGTCTACTAGCTCTCGAGCTCAACATAGTTTACATTCTTTATTCTGTTTATGCTGCTTGTAATTCGTTTCCGAGCATAATATCAATAAACAAGGATTTCCGAGCATTTTTACTGTTTAATAAATGTATTGTGAACTCGCGTATCAACAATTGGTGGCCTATACAGGGATCGAACCTGTGACCTTCGCATATCAACA